ATGGCCATCACTGTCTCTGTCATCCTCGGCTCGGTTCGCCCCGGTCGCCAAGGCGTCCGCGCTGGCAGCTATGTCCAGGCCCAGCTTGAAGCCCTCGGCGCCAAGGTGCACCTCATCGACCCCGTCGCGCTCGACGTGCCGCTCTTTGGCACGCGCTTCGACTATATCCCGGAAGCCGACCGGTCGCCGGCGCTTGTCGAGCTCCACGCCAAGTTTACGGAAAGCGACGCGTTCGTCGTCGTGACGCCCGAGTACAACCACACGTTCTCGCCCGTCATTTCGTCGCTCCTCAACTACTTTTACCACAACGAGTTTTACTACAAGGTCGCCGGTATCGCGTCCTACACGATGGGCCCGTACGGCGGTGTCCGCGCGGCCATCCAGCTGCGCCCGTACCTCGGCGAGCTCGGCTTGATCACGATCCCCAAGATCCTTCCGTTCCCGGCCATCCACGCGCTTCTCAACGAAGACGGCTCGGTCACGGACGGCGCGGCGGGCGCCGACTCGTTGGTAGCCGTGAGCAAGGGTTTCTTCCCCGAGCTGCTCTGGTACGCGGCCAACCTCAAGGCCGGTCGCGCTGCCGGCACGCCGTAAGTGTAGGAAGACGAAAGTATTTGGAGGCACTACGAATGTAACATGATTTTCGTATACATCGATAGCTTTGTCAATCCAACTTGGGCTACGCTCCGCACACGCCGTGACGGCGGCGCTACTCCAGGCTAGAGAAGGGTCTCGCGTAGCCTTTCTCTGTGGTCAAGTGGCTAGAGACTCTAGCCATTTGAACCCCAGAAGAAGCGTAAGCCGCCACCTCGAGCTCCGCGCTCGCCGGTCGCCGACCGCCCTGGCTTCGTCGATGCCTTGGCTGGTATCAAGGCTCTAGGTTTAGGGGTCGGACCACTTTAACTGTAAACTCTACTAGTATTTACATGTCCATGGACTTGTCGACGGTAAGCGCAATCCTTGCGTCCATACACAGGCTTGGAAGAAGTCCCTCTGATCTGACGGTCCACAAACCATCGACTGCTTTATAGTCTGTACCAATGGATGGCCAGTCGAACGGCCGAGTACCGGTATAGCTCCGTTGGCAGAGTGGTTGACTCTAGTCGGGTGCATGCATTCGAAACCTTAGTCATACCAACGTGGCATATACTATTGGTGTAGTACGCAGCTTTTAAGCCGCATGTACTGCAACTATCAGTGTATCAAGTAGGCGTCATTCCTCCGGTTTCGATGCTCCAGCGCGATACACTGTACGATGCACGCGCGAAACCTTGGCCAAAACCGCTGGGTGGCGACTTTAACTTTGGCAAGCCAAGCTACCATCAGCCTGGCGTGTGTGGTATCCGTGTTTAGATAGATTGATGCACACTGGACTTGTTTCGAAGCACCCTAGAGGTTAGTAGTCTCTGCACGGTCGACTGGTAAACAGTCACACGTCGCTACCAGCATAAGCCATCGTCAATGGACAAGACGATGACAACACAAGATTCGCACCCTCAAGGACGCTGACGCTGGGCGTGTCATGGGAATGGAGCACTATAGAGCCGCGTCATATTGGCATATTACGGGGCGTTTGAATCCGCGAATTCCTCGATATCATCGGAGCAAGTCGCAGTTGCCAATAATAGCGGACGTCGATGCGTTGGCTACCGCTGTCTACTGTCGATATCATGTAGTTTGCCTCTAGTATCTCGTGCGAGTCGGAGATGGGCTTTCGAATTTTGGCGGCCATGGCCAAGGTTAAAATCACCCAACATCAACGCGGCGACAGGGTTGTGTCGCGACAACGGGCTGACCTGGTTGTCGTAGAGACGTGCAGGGCTGTATGCAGTGAATGCAGTTTTATGATGTCGGTATTAGGTTCAAACACGGATACATGGTCGCGCGTTTGTCGCTCCTGCGATACCGACACATCGGTAAAAATCGGTTTATCGCAAAGCCCTCCTCTGTACATAGCTCTATTCGACCATGAGTTTTCTGGGCGCAACCGGCGTCAGTGGTTGTCGTCGGTGCAAGCAGACACAAGACAGCCCAGTGCGCCTGTCGTCTCCACACCGTCGGGAAAATAGATCAATATAAAACTAAAGAGCAAAAATTCAACTCCTTGCCGACGTCGCCCAGAGGAGCTCTTGTCTATGCCGGGTTTTATTCTTGTAGTACACTATACATTGCCGATGCGCGTCCCATCGTAATCGAGCGTGGCATGATTTTTAAAGTCCACGCGACCAAAACTGCGTGTTTTTAGCATTGTCTGATCCCCGCGTCCAGACGGGTTGAAGACACAGTTTTGATATCTTCCTGTGGCACAACAACCATGTCCTCGTTGCCACTACCACGAGGGTACTTTCGCTGCCCGCCCTTGTCACCGGTCGAAGTCGACGACCTCCTCGCTACCGCGTCCACAGCCTGTGACGACACGCTTCGCAATGCACTGTCGATGGCCGCGACGACGCCGGCACGCGTGCTCCGGCACCCGCGCACCCAGCGCTACGCCACGGTACTGACATCTTTTTCCCAGCTTATGTAATAGAATATGGTGTCTCTAGATCTACCATGGACCTGACGTTGTCGAGCCAGCTGTTGTTGGCACCACCGGTGTCACGCAGGTCGAGGCGACCCGAGACGACCTCGTCTCATTTTTCGATCTAACGTCGCCCAAGCAACTCCGCACGTACAGCAACGTCCTTGCCTTGTCCACACTGGATCGGTGTGCGCTGTACACTCTTGTCGAGCAAGGAAGCGACCTTGTGTACGCGGGCGTGCATTGGGCGGCGATCGAGTTGCCAGCGATGTTGACGAACCGTGACGCGTGCTTTCTCGAGGTAAATATGAGCACTTTAGTATGGACGACACGATATTTTTCATGATGTAGGCCATGAAAGAAGTCGTGGTCGACGATCCCTTCACGGGCGAGGGCCGGCGGTGTATCGTGCGCACCTTGCACTCCATCGAGCTGTCGTATTGTCCGTCGCTTGACGCGTCCCACCACCTCACACGCGCGTCGATACTCCGCGTACGTGTACTGAATGGATAATTGATTTGTGGTGGCTAATGCTAGTTAGTCGGGCCACGTGTTTGTCGAGTCGGCGACGGCCAATGTCTGGGACTATTACCTCGTCTACGTCACCAAGCCGAACGGCAAGATGCCGGCCTTTCTCAACCTCAAATGCAACATCCGCCACGTCCAGCAGGTACGAGACCATCTGGACATGAAGACACGATTATGGCGTGCGTTTAGATGCTGCATTTGGAAGAGCATTTTTGCCTTCAACGCTGGGCCGCCAAGATTGACACCCGCGTCTTTCAACCAATAACGAGTCCACGAGCGAGCGCGCCGCTGGCGTGCGGTGTGTGTGACCATCGACTGTCGCTGTGGCGGTCCCAGCGACGCCACTGCCACGCCTGCGGCGAGGTAGCGCTCTCTATCATGACACAGAGGTCAACGCTGCTGGTTGCGTAGTATGCATGCCGGCACTGCAGTCATACGTGGGATGTCCAGCTGCCCTACAAGGTATTTCCAGTGCATCTGTGTGTCGAGTGCTTTACAGGCTCGCCACTG